CGGGGTTCCTAGAACCTCGATTAGTGTCTTTAGGATCCCTATGCCCTATCCTTAGGAATCGTCGGATAGTTCCTGGGAGTCGATAGTGTTCTAGGGACCGTACTAGGTCCATCCTTGACTCTCGATGTTCTCCTCTTCCTTAGGAGATTCTTCCTTCGCGTGCGCTACGCTGTTTAGGCCGCGGTATTCCTTATCTAGCTACGTAGTCGCAATACGTAGTTACTTGACCCTAGGTTCTTTTCTGACTAGTGGTTCCTCTGTGGCCTACTTAGTGACCTAGTCCTTTAGGTGCTCGTACTCGTCCGGAGTTGCCCTAGTAATCGCATCCTTTAGGCGCTCAGCCCCTTCTTAGGTGGCCCTAAGTTACTCCTTAGATTTATTATCCTATGTTGCTATCTATTCCTCGTTATTGGTGGCTCTTAGCTATTAGGGTCGTACCTCGTCGTCCCGAGTCGCCCGTAGCTGCTATAGCTTTGCGTTGTTGCGTCCGTTGTTACGCTTACGCGCCTATAGCTTTGCGTTGTTACGCTTGTTGTTGCACTCACGCGCCCGATGTCCTGCTTTTCTATATTTAAAGCATAAGTTATTATCCTTACGCCGTTTTTCTTCTTCGGCTGGAAGTCTCGCTGCGTCGAGCTCTATTAGTCGTGGTCTATAGGGGTCGTTGTCCCTACTAGGTCTGTTTAGTCGTTTCTCGTAACGGTGGTGTGATAGCCGGCCACTGCCTCGGCGCTATCCTTCGATTTCCCGTTTCTAGTTTTGTCGATCGTAGTATCGGTTGTTAACTCGTATAGCGAAGTCGATGAGTTTCTCTAGGGTTTCCGGTCTGTCGATCTATACTAATTCGTCCTTGACGTGCGATTTTAGTCTATCGTTATAGTACGGAATTAGTGCGTAGTCGTCTTACTAGAGTACTGCTGCGAGTTGCATAAATTCTGCGGTGTAGGTGGATGCTGACCCGGTCTGTCGAAGACGCTTTAGCTTCCTTTCTGCTGTCTTTTTAGCGTCAATATCACCGAAGGTACGCTCTAGGTGCTGTCGGAACGTAGCGTAGTTGCTAAAGATAGCTTAGGTGGTGGTAGACCATTCGGTGCTGACTTTTTCGTAATATTCTCGAATGAAGGGTTCGAGCCAGTCCTATGCCTGCCCTCTGAGGTAGGCCGACACGAAGATAACCTTACTCCCTTCATTGGTGAGTCGTTAGGAGTTAACGTCGAGGTGGATATCTATTTGCGTAAGGAATCCTCGTAGTTTGCTTCGAGTACCGTTAAAGGTCTTAGCCTTTAGGAGTTTCGGTGCTCCGATAGAGGATACCGGTGCGGAAGCGACGACTTAAGCATAGAGCTGCTCTAAGTAGTCCTTCACCTTGTTGGCATTGTCGTTGTGGCTGGTGCCTAGCCTATCTAGATCATTCTTGAGCTTTTCCACGAGTCGTTGGAGCTCCTAGATCTATTTTTCCTTCTCGTCTTCCCAGTCGTCCTCTCTACGACTAGCGGACGAGGGATGCTTTCCTCTTGCTGCCTAAGATACCATAATAACTATGCTTCACGGTTCGAAGACAGGGCGATCAATATATTACGCGTAGCCGACTGGTCACTGTGAGTAAGTGTAGAAAGGGTAATAGTTACCTAAGTCGTTGTTGTAATCGGGTACAATAACGATATATACTATCACGGCTGGTTCCGGCCCTCTCGGCACAACTTCGAATTCTAAGAGTATCTCTCAATCGTACCGTTGCCTCGCAGGGCCTTACTGCGGGATAGATCCTGTTAAGTATCTTGCAGAACGTGCCAGAAGTGCGCGCCAAGTAAGTCAATCACTAAGTATTGCTACTAAGTGAATCCCCTACTTGTAGGTTAGGTTATCTTAAAGGTAAACTGTGAAGTGCAAAGTACTAAAGGTAGTAACCAAGTAATAATATGTAATTGATCGCGAAGAACTAAATACATAATAGTAAACGAGTGTCCTTATATATCCAGTCCTTCCTATTAGGCGATAAGTCGGAACTCATCACTCGATGCTATCCGGACTCATCAGCAGATGAGTCGAGCTCATCACTCGATGAGTCGTCACGTGACTACTTGTTTGGGTAGTTCGTTGTGCTAGACAATATCTGGTATATATGTAGCTATACACATAGGATATTGTCCGCCCTAAGGGCACGGTGTCCTCGATCACCCTGATCGATCACTGATCGTGAGCGTGTAAAATGCCCTTTTTACACGGACCCACTTTGCTCCTAGGAGCACCTTTTCTATGTGATCTTGCTCCTAGGAAGCATATGTGTAATGCTTCTCATTGGTTGCACGTGACTTCTGTAGGTGTCGTCCTTCTTGCGGGTTTAGTTGGCTGTCGTTATCCCCCGCGGGTTTCTGACGGTCTGCCTCGTAACAATTAATAACCTAAATAAGATAAAAGAGTACTCGATTAGTTAACGTATAGATTAATAAATATACGCTAATTGTTTTAAGACCGAATAATCCCTCGTAAGTCGTAGGATTAAAGAGACATTAGAATTCTATATTGTCCTTGCAAAAATATACGTACTTTACTCTATAGTTTATAATATATTTCCGCACTTCTGACGATAGAGTTTTGCTCTATATTAGTTTTTAAAACCACAATAATATTATATAGTCGTTAAAGCAAAATATGTAATATTAATACTATTGATTAAGAAGAAAACCAGCTAATTTCTCAATCTTTCATAGAGAAAAGAGGGTTTTGTTAGTTAGAACCACAGAGGTGACTGGAACAGATATAAATAATAGTATTTTTATTGAGGTTAATCAGCAGTTTTGTGCGCCTTAGCATAAACTAATTAGGATATTTATGCTGAAACGGGTTCTTGGCGGGTAACCGCGGGCTACCCGCTAAGAACCCATAGGTCTACGGGTATAGGTTTTGGGTATTAGGTATGAACCCGACCCGCGGGTACGGGTCCTGAAGTTGGACCCAAACCCGACCCAAAGCGAGGTCTATACGTGACTCTGATTAAGATAAACTAGACTTTCACGATATATTAGCACCGCTGCTTAGCTATTCTCTAATCCGACTGGAGATAAATAAACGACTATTTAATATACATCGCCTAGTATAATTATCGGTCCGAGCGTAGCTAGACACGTACTAGCAGCTTCACAGCTAGTAGGCTAAATCGCGAAGGATTATAGCACGGGTATTTCTAAACGGCGACTACGAAACCTAGACAGAATGTCGAACGCTCCTTACGCATGCTAAAAGTATGCTAAAGTCTATATATAAGGTAGATAACGAAGATCGATTAAACGCCGCTACCGTCTTATCTAATTGTGGGCGGTTTCTAGATCTTTAAGGAGCTTATAAAGAAGCAGAATCGATACATCGACGGGCGTTAGAAGAGTGTGAGAAGGTGCTTAGATACGAGTATTCTAACACGCTCACTAGTCTCAGTAACCTTAGCCTAGTGCTTTCCAGACAAGGGAAGTATGAAGAGGCGGAAGCGATGCATCGGCGGGTGGTCGAAACAGAAGAGAAAGTGCTTAGACACTAGCATCCTGATACGCTCGCCAATGTCAATAACCTCGGCTTAGTGCTCTCGTACCAAGGGAAATATAAAGAGGCGGAAGCGATGGATCGATAGGTGTTAGAAGCATAAGAGAAAGTGCTTGGTCACCAGCATCCTGATACGCTCACCAGTGTTAATAACCTCGGAGTAGTGCTCTCGTACTAAGGGAAATATGAAGAGGTAGAAGAGATGCATCGGCGGGTGGTCGAAACACAAGAGAAAGTGCTTGGACACCAGCATCCTAGTACGCTCATCAGTGTCAACAATCTTAGTTTAGTGCTCTCCACAAAAGGCAATAAGGAGGAGGCGGAAGCTATACAACGAAGGGCATCAGAAGCACTAGAGAAGGTGCTTGGACACCAGCATCTTTATACGCTTAGCTGTGCCAATAACCTTGCCAATGTAATTTCCGACCAAGGGAAATATGAAGAGGCGGAAGTAATGCATCGATGGGTTTAGGATGCACGAGAGAAGCGGCTTAGACGCGAGCATCCTGACACGCTTAACAGTCTCAAGAAGCTTACGCTAGTGCTCTTCAAACAGAGCAAATATAGAGAGGCTGAAGCGATGTATCGGCAGATGGTCGAAACCCAAGAGAAGGTACTAGGATACGACCATCCTCACACGCTCACCAGTGTCAACAACCTTGGCTTAGTGCTTAAAAAACAAGGCAAGAACGAGGAAGCGAAAGCTATGTATCGAAGAGCGTTAGAAGCACGAGAGAAGGTGCTTGGATGCGAGCATCCTGACACTATGACCAGTGTTACAATCCTTGGCTTGGTGCTCTCCAGGCAAGGGAAATATGAAGAGGCGGAAGCGATGTATCGGCGGATGGTCGAAACTCAAGAGAGGGTACTTGGACGCGAGCATCTTGACACACAGGCCAGTGTTAAAATCCTTGGCTTGGTTCTCTCCAGGCAAGGGAAATGTAAAGAGGCTGAAGCGATGCATCGACGGGCGTTGGAAGCACGAGAGAAGGTGCTTGGACTCGAGCATCCTCACACGCTCACCAGTATTAGCAACCTTGGCCTGGTGCTCTCCAACCAAGGGAATGGGCGTATAAAGAGGCGCAAGCGATGGACTGACGGGCGTTGGAAGCACAAGAGAGGGTGGAAGCACAAGAGTATCCGAACACCCTCATCAGTGTCAGTGACCCTGGGGAAGCGCTCCAGGAGCAAGGAAATTATTGAGATGGAGAAGCGATGAATAGTTTGACACTAGAAGAATATTTCGAGGTGTTTGGATATGAATACAGTGCTGCCCGTTATTGCCTTCCATATCTAGAGAGACAGAGATGCCCTTTCAAACCCTAGTCACATGATGTGATGAACCCAATGTAGAATCGCGTAAATTACGCGTCATGAATGGCTGTCTGGGTTTTTCTGAATGGCAGTTTCCAACTGTCAGCTATCTTTCCACAGGCTTTGCTATATGCACAGCCTACCCCACGCCGCCCAATCCCACTAATGCCACCAGCTCATGACGCTGGCCGATCGCCCCATGTCTTTCCTTGATCGCATTGATAACAGCTTCACGGCCCACGAACATCGGGTCCTTCTTAAAAGGCACCGTGGAGCACTGCTGGGCCTTCGGACGCGTCCGTGCTGCGAACGGCACCCATTAGCCCACGAACAGAAACCAGAAGAGGTCACTCACTGAATCGAGCCGCCACCACCGACGGCGCATCCTTTGAGAACTGCCGCAGGTTGTCCAGTGCCATTCGATACGCGGCCGCGTTCCGCGCGTCGAATTTGACGATCGTCGAGTGATCCGCATACAGCGGCACCTTGTCCTGCCTTGGCGGACAGCAGTCGTGACCAGGCGGCTCTGTATATCGCTCCCAAGGACTTGGACCGATACATGAGTGAGATCAAGAGTCCTACCGGCGGACGGCTGGCCCTTTCCAATGAGAATGGTATCGGCTACACTATTTACTCCCACACCGTTCCGGGAGTTCAAGGCATTATCGGTAGAGTTGAAGCCGAAAAGTATGCCACCGAAGTGAACAACTGGATTTACAATAAGATCAAAGATCACCGGGATCGACAAGGCGCCTTCGCTGCCCTGTCGATGCATGATCCAAAACAGGCTGGTGAAGAACTCGAGCGCTGTGTCAAGAAACTCGGTTTCCACGGTGCGCTGCTGAACAACTGGCAGCACGCCGGAAAGGATGGAGAGACTTATCTTCTCTACGACCACCCTTCCTATGACGTCTTCTGGCAAAAGTGTGTTGAACTTGATGTCCCTGTTTACCTACACCCGGCCGCACCTTATGGCAAAATCCATGATACCTTCTTCAAGGATCGCCGTTATCTGATCGGTCCCCCCATTTCGTTTGCCCAGGATGTTGCTCTACACACCATGGGTTTGATCACCAACTGTGTCTTTGACCGAAACCCAAAGCTGAAGTTGATCGTCGGCCACCTAGGTGAGAGGATGCCTCAAGACTTCTGGAGGACAGACCACTGGCTAGAGGATGTTGAGCGTCCACTCGCTGATTCTCGCGGCGACACTATGTCCCGTAAGCCCATTCTTCACTACTTCAAGAACAACATCTACATCACAACCTCCGGTCACTTCTCTACAGAGACTGTCAAGTTCGTTTGCGACTATGTCGGTGCCGACCGCATCTTGTTCTCCGTTGACTCGCCCTATGAGAAAATTGAAGTTGGCGCCGGCTGGTACGATAAGGACGAGGCTAGATTGACGAAGGCACTCGGCGGCCCCCAACAGTATTTCGATGTTAGTCGTGAAAATGCTAAGAAGCTTTTCAAGTTGAGCAAGTACCATGACTCCGATGCTTAGATATAGTTGTGCACAGTCCACATTGATGTTTGGATCTGTCAACATATAAGTGTTTTAGGGTCGTGTGACGAAAGACCCACTAACCCCTCACTACTTCTAGATCTTTTTTAAAAGATCTATTAGATTATAACAAAGGCAATGATGCTCAGGATTATGAGCTAAGTTCGACCGGATATTTGACTAGCTTGCACGGTAGATACTATAACCCAGCTAAATCTCTTCCACATCTTTGTAATTTAGCTTCTTGCACTTCCGGTCATCCCTTTTCCTATACGTACTATAGTACATCGTACACAAGTTTAAGATCTGTGTTCTGATCCTAGAATCGATTGAGGACGACGTCCTTCTCCTTAGTGGTATTATTGCGACTAAACAGTAGACTACACTAAAATATAAAATAGGGGTTCAGTATAATCAAATCACAAACTAACCACCGGAGTTGATCAGGTAGACCAACGCAAGAGAATCTACAGTGTTGGTCATAGCTGAACTCTGTATTTTTTGGCCAGTCGTTTCGATCGCCTGAGTTCAGATCCCAAATCGTGTGATAATTTGCATTTGCATTTCATACGAGAGCCACGGAATGTGCTGCTCATAGAAGAAATCGCTTCATTTGTCGTATCCTAAGCAAGACTGTCGCAAGCCGTTGAAGATGCAAGTGAACCATGATTGGGCACAGTGGAATGGGGGTTGTTGTCGGGTAAAGACAGTGTAGGGGAGAATGTGAGGAAGCATATTGGGTCTACCACATCCACGTGAATGGTAAGATCACTCCACCAAACAATTCTTTTCGCACCTCGTAAATTGAGGCTAAGGGGGCCAATGTGTTTAAAATTCAAGAGAAAACACCCCAGTGAATGTGTGTTGACAATTGCCTCGCTTTTCCCAAGGTACTGTAAACGCCTTGAAGGTTTGAATATCGCGCGGATTCGCGCCCTTCGGGTGTAAGTTAGTGAGAGGAATCTAACGGAAGCAATTAGAGACCTGGAAAGGTGGCCACCCGAAGATGAAGCATTGTTGAGAGGCACTAACTTATCAAAGATGCGAAGTGCGCGCCGGTAGTCGTTTCTGGTTCTCGGGAGAACGGCACGTAGGATTTCTGAGTTATCATACTTATCGAAATCCACGAAGAAGGTGAAGTTGTCGGTTAGATCCTTGCCCCTGGACATTGTGAGGGTGTATATTGCTCGCTGCGTCAACGGGGTGGGGTGCGAGGGGGGCTGAAGGGTGGGAGCCCGCTGCTGGACGCTCCCAGCGCGTACTTATAATTCATCCATCGTCGCTCTCTATGTCAGCCGCTCGCGAAATCTTTCCCTGTGCCAAAAGGTGCAAATGCGCCTTTTGCCAGCCTGCCCTACACCCTGGCCGGTCTTCGGGTGAAGAATATTCAGGTGGGTGAACTGCCGCCTGAAGCCGCCTGAAGCACCCTAAAGAAGGCCCGGGTAAAGCGGCGAGCCGCCCAGCACCGAACAATGGGCGTTAGGTGAGCCCGGCCATACTTTTTGGTTGTTGTATGTTTTTCGTTTTTGCATTGATCTAGTGGACCAGATTACGGCATGTTTCTAGATATCGACCGTGAACCCGCAGCCTCTGACTTGATCTCTCAGATATTGTGTCTTTTCTCTTAGCACACTTGAGTCCTTGGCCATAGCCAGTAAAGACTATCTTCATAGCCTTGATATGTTCCTAAACGTCCTCGAAGTCCAGTCATAAAGGTGAGAGTAGACCAAAAAGGCTATATTAGCATTCAAATCCGCCCATATGGACGGTGTGAGAAAGTGTGATCAACGAAACTTTAATCATCTAGTAATCCGAGTATAAGATGTAATGATCTGCCGCAAAGCTCAAATTAGTGACTAAATCAGACTACTTGGTGGCACAAAATAGTCTTTATATGATAGGTTCTATTCGGGACTGTTGCGTGAAAGCCCCCTTGCGTCGGGCCCACGATATTCCGTGCAGGACATCGCGCACAAATATCGCGGAGTTATCCTGGAGACAAGCGTCACCATGTTCCCAGGATATCGGCAGGGTGTGGGCGTGGGCCTGGATCCATCCTATGGCTAGTTCCTGGAAACGTTGGCCTAATTACGTTCATAGTTCCATTTTTCAGGAAGAACCTTGGTGATTTTGTAAAGGGAATATGACATATTCGAAATTTACAACTTGCGGGCACCGCATGAAGACCAAGCACGGGGTATTTTTTTTTGAAGACACCTCTTGAGTATGTTTACCGTTTTCTGCAATAAACAACCTGTATTGACTTTTTAGTAAAGTTGGAAACGTCGTATTTCGCCCACTGAAAGGCAAATTGAATATTTCACAAACGCATGGATGCCTAAAATTGTTACAAATTCACCTTCGTCCCGCCGTGAGCTATCTATCTTACACGCCCTTCTTTCACGATTAATCATTTGGACGTCTATGCACCTCGTGTCTCTACTCTTTCCCAGATTTCTCATTATACAAGCTCAGTGGATACTATGTTGCGGTTATCTAATGAGCGCTGAAGATGATTATCCAATTAGAGCCATTTAAAAGTTGAATATCAGTTTTATAGTTGCGAAAACGATACACACTCCTTAAGCAAATCACGAATTGCTTTGTGTGATGTAGCTAATAGCTTGCTTATGCGCGTCTAGGAATCAGTCTCAGTACCCAAGAGCTCGTACTGTAAAACAGTTGACTATTTGCCACTACTTCGTAAGGTCTGTATTAACTTGCATCGCTCTGTCTAGAGCGTAAAACCCCTCCAATGACAATTTGCCCGCTTTCAGCCCAAGGATGACATGTTTGCCTCTTATTCGCTAGACCCGATGATGTCTTGGGTGGCTCTGGGAGCTAAAGATATCCTAGGAGGTCCACTATATAGCCACATTGGCCGAAACACTCCGAGGAACTGACTTTTTGCAAAGCCGCACAGCAGTAGCATAAGCTGTTTCCTGGAAAGTAGACGGCATAGTATCCTAAGTTCGTCGCTAGATCTTGTGTAGGAGTAGGCTGCGGCAAATCCGCTCCGTTGGATGTCAAAGTCATATCCGCATCCGCAGATTGCGGATGTTGGATACCTCTTCGACATCCGCATCCAACTGTTGGATATCCGCGGACATCCAATGGATGTCCGCAAAATCCAACAATTATCCGCACTAGCATAAAATTCGCTAATTTAACTTATTTTGGCACTTCATGTGACCCTTATACAGCTAACGATGCACTTTTTTTTCCATCGCATTACAGATGTATCAGTATGTTATGGTCGTTTGTGGTAGAATTGCTATCTTATATGTGATCTACTTATTGAAATAATATGAAATATGAATGAATTTAAGAAGAGATTCTATTATCTTAGCTATATATAATAATTTAATTCCTAAGGGATATAGTAGGTAGTGGTAATTTTGATTTATTGAAGTGATGGTTCTCGTTATTTTGGTTCCTGTGGAAAATATATATTTTAGTGCACGAAAGCTAGTGTGGATGCTATAGAAGAAAACTATTAAAAGACGAACCCGCTCAATTTGCTATTATCTAACTAAATCTTCCTAAATATAAAATCTTTAAAGCTTAAAGAATCAGGAAATGCAATTTAATCAGTAGATTATAATATAAAGATATAGTGAAAATATAGCATATTTATTAGAATTGTTTGACTTAGTGATTTAAATTCGCTCTCATACGGATATTAGTTAGATATTTCTTAGACATCCGGCGGATATCAATAATCATCCAATGAATATCTAATTTAGTATCAGCCTAAATCTTCTAATCCAATCAGAGACCTCGATAGAATATTGTACTAGACTACCTCATTGGTTATTCTCTATACTTAGGTCGGGAATATAATATATCGATATTTCATATTCTAGTCGCGTCCAAGTCACGGTCGCGTAAGCTACACCTAATAGTTAAGTATTCCCCTAATCTTTGTAGCCTAGTCACTTCGGTAAGTATTCGAATTCTGTCTTTCTATTTCTCTAGTTATACTCTATACCTTACTTCATCCCTTACCTTACCACTATACCTCGATCCTAGCACTCAGATAGTCAATACCTAGCATCTTAATATACTAAGTCTTTTATTGATCCAGATATCCTGCAATCGGACGACTTCCTTGACTTTCCAAGCTAAGCCGGTCGTACTACAACCTCCTTTTCTAATTACTCTCTCCCGCCTATACGGCACCGTTATACTATACGCGCACCGGAATCACTTCGTCGTGTCGGTAAGCATCTCCAAAAGCATTGGATCCTCTTTAACGATAACCTAACCGACCCTGATATAGAGAGTTCCCGGAAGAGCTTTGTTAAGTGATGGCTTCAGACAGAATTCGGTGAGAAGGAGGACTTAAAGAAGTCAATCTAATAGTAAAGTAAGCAAAAGATATCTAATATTTAGGACTGCTTTAATTAAGTTACATATAAGAAGACTAGTAAGCCTAAGGTAATATATAGGCGCTACTAGGCTGTTCTTGTCCATCCATGTTATCGTCGGGTAGGGACGTCTCCGATAAAGATATATATGAAAAGCATCATATGTACGAAGCCCTCGGGATCAAAGAAGTAGGGCATTAATCAACTTCTGCAAAATATAGTGTGCTTTACCCTCCGAGCTAGGCCCTTTAAGCTAGGAAGCCTTACTTACACTTTATATATCTTTAGCCGTATACGCAGATATCTTCCTCATTCGATCAGTCTACCTTTTAATAAAAGATTCTTGAATTTATAACTACTACACGGCTTCCATTTCGGATTATCGAGTATACTAGTTTCAGAAGTCTTCTTAATTACGCTCGGATTATAGACTTAAAGCTTAATATTCCCTCTACCCGGATAATACGACGACTCCTTAATACATCAGTAGAAGTCCAGCAGCGAGAGATACTTAATAAACTCCTAGATAGATGCCGAATCTCAATTACGCTTAATTATTAGACATCTCTATTTAAACAAGCATTCATAGTAATCACTAGTTATTTTATCGATTAAGATTAGAACTATCAT